TTGTTTTGTAATTTGACCCTTTTCAAGCGACAATTTCTAAAATACAGCAAACAATGTTACCATATGGCAACATCCGGCTGAAAAGGCTTAAGTTGAATAACAACGTGGATGTTAAACTAAAGAAAAATCTAAGGTGCAAGACAAAACGTTGTATTTACTTTTATTCGAATACATAAGTTCATACGTTCAAGTTTGAAACAATTATCTGGCCAATTAAAAAGAAGAGTAACAATTGTACGAATAATAATATCAAAAAATGAATAATAATTCCTTATATTATTTATAGTTTTGTGTTTTGTTTTATAAATTACTAGAAAAGATAATCTGTCGTATTTGATATAGTAATCAAGAATATGAGTTATGTTTTATTTAGAAAATCGAAAAGAGGTGAGAGATTATACATATTTAAAATAAATATGCATGTAATTTCTTTTCTTATTCGAAACGTACACTCACAGCCAAAATTTGATAGAATTTCTTGCTTTATTACTAATTACTATTAAGGGGTGGCCCAAAAAGAATTATAATGTTCGTATTTTCAAGTTTTCTCCTCTTCTTTATAATTAATCGAGCAAATGTCTTTACCAAAATATAGTGCGTTCAATACTCTACAAAATATGTCTTGACTGTTTTATTACAAAATCCAAAGGTAGAAAATGAGATGAGAAATCTTGTGAAGTACAAAAATTAGAAAAAATAAGTTAAACAGCCAGCCACCTTTTATGTTTTATTCGCTAAACGTTTGTGGGAGAAAGAAGGTGAATTAGCTGTCGTGTAGGACTTGGAAATCTTCCATCTATGATTAAAAATTTCTCCCGATTTCAATAAGTCAGTCTTTGCATCGGATATTCTTACTCAAGACAAATTTTGTTGCATGGCATGAGAGAGAGAGAGAGAGAGTACACTTGAAACTACACAAGGTATACTCAAACTGCGCTCTGATGCTTGTGAAATTGTAAAATCATTGGAAAAAATGTAGCTCTCTATGAGAAAATACATTATTTTTTCTGAATTTTCGTATTTCATAAGATTTCTCATCTCATTTTCTACCTTTGGATTTTGTAATAAAACAGTCAAGACATATTTTGTAGAGAAGTGAACGCACTATATTTTGGTAAAAACATTTGCTCAATTAATTATAAGGAAGAGGCGAAAACTTGGAAATACTAACATGATAATTCTTTTTTTGGCCACCCATTGCATTATATAATAATATCGACAACCAACATTAATTTCACCTATATTATGAATATATAAATTATAAATCCCATTAGGATCATCAACACATACTATACAGGATTCTAATCATATTCGTAGAGTTAGATGAAAAGGTACATAATTGATTTTTCGGTACAAAATGGTATATTGCTACAAAAAAAATATCGTTGGTATTCTCAAACGCGAGATTGAATAAAAATTTGGTATGATTCTATAGTTAACGGTGATTCTTATAAAAAAAAATTCTCTCATGAAATACGATCATCAAACTCTATTAAGCCATACTATTTCATTATTCACTATCTGCAGATAGAATTAACAAGTGGAAACAATCAGGTTTTTAAACATATTTAGAATATTGGCGACTGAATGTACACGATCTTTTGACGAAAGGTTAGATAAACTTAAAGAAAGTTCACTGGATATTGCAAATGTTCGTAGAATCTTATAGAACTTCATTGGATCACTTAATGTTATAGATCGGATCTTTTACGAACGATTTCTCTCTCAATCCAATTTGATTTTACCTAGGCAACATAGAAACTAATATACCGCACATGATGGTTTTATATGTAATATATATTGTAGAAAAATTTATGTAGAACAATGATTTGAACTTGCAATACTCTGGAAGATTTTATGATAAGAATTCATAAGAAAACAACAGATCTTGTATGACATTTCTAAGTACTATTGAATTAAAAGGTAAATGATCACAATAAATTAGTTGACTCTCTCTCAGTGTATACAGGTAAATCTTGTATGGTGCTTCAGAATTGAACACTTATACTTTCGTAAACTGATCTATCTAATATTTTTAAAGTCGGATGATTGTTTAGTCATACTCGATGTTTCTGTTGCCTCTTTTTGGCTTATCAAATTGTTAATTATTTGAGAAAGAATGGTAATATAAACAATTGACAGTCTAGTCAACTATACGATCGATTGATTTGGAAACATAAATATGACGGTACATAAAACAATAAAAACCATATGGTTTTCTGCTGAATCGATGTCATATCTGTACTTGACTCATTACAACATGATATTAGCATGTTTAAGATAAATTCTAAAGACGAATCTCATTCTTGCATACATCCAAATGAACAAAAATCGAATAAGGAAAGCATGACTAAAAAAATGATCTGATACAATGTTTTTTAGATACTAAAAATACATGATGAAACGAAAGTATCTCTCGTTTACTCTTTGTTATTCCACTACTTTTCAGGTTTTTTTTTCTTTTTTATTGTTGACAGTGACTAAACAAAAAAATGATTTTCTTTTTAAAAGTAAATATTATCACGTTTATCATGTATATGACACACTTATGTATTTTCATTTTTCTTCTTTTTCATGCAAGGAAAACTATAACCTTCTTTTTTCTTTTTTTTCTCTCACTTGTTCGTTACAGTTTATAGTACGATTATCATTAACTTCATTATTAACATCCTAATCATCGTTAGAAAGTCTGGTTGCTCTCTTTCTCTCTTCATTTTTATTTTTTGTATAATTTTCGTTCTTATACAATTATACATGTTTCGCTATAGAACTTCTTTCCCCCCCAAAAAAAACCGAAAGAAAAAACACACACACACACCGTTTTTGATGATAATAAATAATGTAACGATGATGATGATGATGACTCAAATGATTATACCTACTAACACTATCACCAACAAAAAAAAAAAAAAAACACACGAAGGTTATCTAACTATTCTAAAATGAAAAAACGAGAAGAGAAAGAGAGAAAGAGAGAGAGAAAAAGAAGAGAAAAACGAAATCTTCTCTATTTTCATAATATAGACATTGTCATCTTACACTTAAGATAAGACTTTAGTCTCTCTTTTTTGACTTTTAGAGAGAATAAATATACAAGGGCAAGAGGGTGTAGTGTGATAGTGATACACGAAAGTCAAATTTGCAAAAATTTTTTTTTTTTTTGTATTCAATATATTAACTGTTTATGGTATACTTCTAGCAGTTGTGGGTTTGCACATACGTATATACACGAAACAAATTAACTATAGTTAAAAAGAAATATTTATTCTCTCTAAATATGGAATACTGTTGAGAAGGATATTTTTTATGCTGTATATTAAGGTAAAGAAGAAATTTTTAATAAAAAAAGTGAGCTTCATTATTAGATGTTCATATCACTCCTAGATGTTTCCGAAAATTTTTCTCACTTTCATTCTCTTTCTTCTTTTTTTCTTAAAATATATTACGTTTTTTTCGTTTAGTCCTTTTATTCACAACTTCGAATATTGAATTACGCTCACTGAAGGCCAGTTTTTATGATAATAATCACATTGAAATAATACTTGTGAGATTATCACGAAAGCTGGTCAAACATGCGTTAACATAGGGAGAATATGGTATGTACAACACGATAACAATTTATCTCGTGGAAAGATATGAGATGACTAGCATATCTATCGTCATTTACTAGAAATAAACCAATTGGTTAGACTAAACTATAATACTATAAGTAAAATAGTGTAGAAAAACAGAATTTGGTACAAACTGTTGCTCAATAATAATATTGTTTACTGCTTATGGTGCACTCACCATTTGCAAAATGATATTTTTTGTTTAGTACAAATCAAATATCTTTTTTTTTCAATCATTGATTCTAGTTTTTTGTCTATATAAATATCATAGTAAACTTGTCATATTTTGAATATTCTTTTAACTTCATCTTTTTCTTCACAGAAGAGAAGATCTGTGATTGTGGTATATGTTTATGATATGATAATGTGATATTAAGATTTATCAGTGTTATACTCTGATCAATACAGACTTGAATACAAGCAACTATAAGAAAGAAACTTCTTACAGAAATATATCGGCACGTATAGATCATGGATTGTATTGAAACATTTTTTTGTAGGACACAGTCTTTAGATTTTTTATTGTTCTATAAAAGTTTTACATACCTTATGATTAGTTTAAAAATAACAGTCAAGTATGATAAAATCATTGCCGACATCATGTTTTTGAATTTTAATATTGAATTCCATATGACTCTAATTACCGTTTTTCCTATTTATATATTTACTGAAATAAAAATTTAGGGCGTTGGCACAAAAAAAAAGAGTACAAAGTAATCGAAATGTAAACATATGATTTATTTGATCACCAGTAGCAGCAGAATCATCATTTTCTGTAATGCCTCGCCCCTATAACAACAAAAAAAATAAAGGTAAATATATTAAAATATTTTTTTTAATCAAAATTTATTTTTTTCATTCTAGTGCGATGTAGCAACAATTTGTATTAAACTTTTTTTTTTCTTTCTTCATTGTGCACCACTTGAAATTCGAAGTGAAAAAAAGAAAAATGAAATTTTCATGCCGCAGGAGAAGAACCATTAAGAAACGTTGTGTTCTAATCCTGCACAGTTAATTTGAACAAAAAGAAGAACTATAGATTGTTGATAGATTTCATAAAATCGATTTTTTTTTTAAAATTGTGCATTTTTGACAAGATTGTAGAAATGCATAAATTTTTGTGCTTATAACAATGAATGAGCGTGAATTGTTTGAATAGTATAAAAGAGAAGAAAGAACGAAACTGTTTATTTGTGATAAGATTAATACAATTGTTGTCTTTTATTGTTGTACATGTGTATATGTTTGGGTGTGTCTGAAAGAATAGATATAAATGAAAAATTAACAAATAATAGAATTCTCTCACACTTATACTCACTATTGTAATTCGTATCTTTTTCGTTCGATTCGAATGAAAATAATAGAAAATAAAAAACTGGGCGTTATATATCAACATCTCGATTTTATACTGCCAACCGTTTCTCGTCCATTTGATTCAATTTCAATTTCTTTTCCTTTAAATAATGGTTCACGACGATTTTTTAATAATGTTTGTAATTTTTCATAATAATCATTATCCAATAGAAAATTATTTCGCTTAAATTAGAAAAATATAAAAAAAAGTCGAAATAAACATAGAAACTAACATAGAATGGTAAGTTTATAAATTTACTCATAAATGAGTGGTATATGAATACTACTCTTAGTTTAATCTATAGTGCCTGTAATTCAAGTCGAAGTAAACCTTGTAATGATGATATATTTAATTTAATATAAATTTCTTGATATTGTACTGCTTTGAGAAAATGATTGATACCTGTCTGTGAAATTTTGTTTTCTAAAAAAAAAAGATCTGAATAGTCAATCTTATTTATATATACTTAATCATATCTATCATATTAACATACGTGATAAATTTAAACTCAACAAACATCGATTGCCAGGCAATATAAGATCATTATTCATTAATTCAACATTCTGATCTAATAAAGGCATACCATCGTTGATTATGTACTAAAGATAAATGTATAAACTTATTAATAACAAATAGAATGTTAAACACGTCATGTCGATGTATTATTATTATTATCATCATCATCATAATCAACAAATTTTAAATTTTCTTTCGTGCGGAAATACAATCAAAAAATTCAAATTTCAGTAGAATAAAATACATTCAAAATATCAGCTCCTTTGTTTTTTAATTACAAACCTTATCTTCACTCTAAAATATTTTTTTCGAGTAATTTTCAAAAAAAATTAACTATATATTAATAGAATATAAAAATATTTGATTACTAACATCCGTTTCACTTTGTGTCGCTGAACGAGCTCCTTTGGCGGTTGATTGTTTTAAATTTTTATCGGTTGCTTTTATCCCTTTCGTCGTTTTTGTTTCGGCAATATTTGCTCCTAAAATGTCAGAATATATTTTTCTCTTTTTTTTTTTTAAAACAATTAAATCTCAGAAGTACTCGTCATATATGAGCGTGATTTTTCAATATTTTGTGTACCTTTTTTCATGGTCTTGTCATCCTTTTTTCCTTTTGATTGTTCTTTCGCTGCATCAACCTGAAAAATCAAAAAAAAAAAGTTCATGAAGCCATTCGAATAAGTTTAGTGACTAACAAATTTCATATTCCATACGAGTATCTCAATTACATACTTTTCCTTTTTTCATTGGTAATATTACAACTGACGCTGATTTTTTTCGCTGTATTGGTGGAGATGTTATGCTGTTCCGTCGTACATAATCTTTATCTATTATTTTTCTTGCTGACAGTGTCGGTACACTTTCTGATATTGTTGAATCTAGTAATAGTTGTCGTCGATAGATCAATTCTTCACGACTTAATGGAAATTTACTGAGTACAATAGCTAATTTTTCAGCTCCATTATCACCAATATCATTATTGCTCAAGTTAAGTACCAGTAATGTGCGATTAAATTTTAAACCCTTAAAAAAATAGACAAAATAAAATTTGTATTGTTACTCATAAAAATTATCAATTTTTATACCTTTGCTATTTGTTCTGCTCCAATATCTCCAATTTTATTATAGGCTAAATTTAACGTTTGTAATTTTGAATTTTGTCGTCGTTCATTTCCTAGTCCATTACCAATATGCATCGCACCATGTTCAGTTATACAACAATGACGTAATGACAAATTGACAATGTTACTCGTATCATCTGTTAGCAGTACATCATAACGTTCATTTGCCAATGGATTTGAGTCTAATATTAACGTTTTTAAATTCGGACATTTGGGGAGCAATGTTGCTAATTGAACTACTGTTTCATCAGTGAGGCCTGTATACCAAAAATTAAGGGTATGTAAATGTTCTAATGTTGGAAAACTTTGTTGAAATATATCTAATGTTATATTATCGATTTTCCATGCTCCTTAAAAATAAAAATATAAAGATATAGTTGGATGTGATAAATAAAGTTCAAACGTACGAATATGAATTTCTGTAATTGTCTCTTGTTTGTCTAAATTATCTATTTCAACTTGAATTTTTGGTTTAAAATAGTCATAATTATCTTTCAATGAGTAAGTTTTTGGTAAATTTTCATCTAAACATAAAAGAAAAATGATTTTTTTTTGTGAAAATATTATCACAACTACATGCCATTTGTAAGTTCTTCTACGTCATATACATCTTTATCTTTTGATTTAGTCGTTTTAATCTTGCCCTTTGAATTCGTAGAATTGATCGGTGTACCTGGTGGTCGTGGCCGTTGAACAACGGGAACAATGAATGATATTTGAGCTTGACGACATAATGCTTCAAAATCATCCAAAAATTTTCCTTTGCAATGATAAGGTTCTGAACGAAATAAAAACAGTAATGTTCAAACAACATCAGGTAAGGTTCAATTATGCGAATATATATAAATATCATCAATTTAAAAAGCATTTTATTTGATCATAATCTTATTAAATAGTTACGTGAACTTATACGAACACATTGACAAAAAAATTTTTTATTTTTAAAAATATTTCCAGAGTACATCGGTTGGAAGTAAGGAGATGTGTGCATTGAATTTTGTTCAAATCAAGAATACATAAATTGATATTTCTAAAACATTCCCTTACAAAATTACAGATTCTGCCACATATATCAGAAAAGTTCTCAATAGTTGATTCTTATAGGAAAAAATGAAGTAGTGAATTTAAACTACAGCAGTACTATTCTATATCTCATGAAATTAGAAAAAAAGTAGACAAATGCTTGGTAAAAAGTGTTGAATTTTTATTATGGGGAAGATGGTAGAGAGTATGAAACAAGGAAAGAGATACTTTACCAGACAAAGAAGATTCGTTAAAAGACATGTGAACAAAGCTAAATTATTCACTTTCTAATGTGAATGGATCTCTTTTATTTTGTGACAGCATATTTCATAAAAAAACTTATTTCCTATTCTTTAAAAATAATTAACTTCCGATATTTTCTTGACGACATAGAATAGTTTTTTCTTCTGATATTAATTTTATAAATTAAAAAAGTTGAATATAAAAACAACAAGAATTCAAAAACTTATTAAATAAAATTAATTTATGTGAACCAATGATAAAAGCATTTGAGATAAAAAGAACAAAAGGAAATGAAAGTAGACACATGTAACGGTGTTATATCATCTTAAACAACTCAACTATTAAATAATTTTTTCAATGGTTAGATCAATGATGAATGTATGCATATATACGTGTTAATTAAACATAGTTGGCAAGATCCATAATTAAACGTACATTTGAGAGTAAGAATAAATAAAACAGACGAAAAGTCCTTAAAAATGTAAAAAAGTAGCAATAGACAATGGAACAAGAAAAAAGCAAGGTTATGCTCTCTGGTATTAATGTCAAGTGTAGGATTTATAATATTAAGTTGTTAAACAAAACTTCATTTAAATGTAATACGTTTATCCTATTAATAAAAAGAATTACCTTTTGTTTCATCTAAATTAACAACATTAGAATTTATGATTGATTGATCAAAACGAATCTTTGTACGACTTTTTCGTTGCATCCTGTAAAGAAACAAGCAGGAAACTTATTATTCGCCACATTTGACCTCAACGAACAGCTTGTAGTAAAATTACAAATTTCGAATTGAACTATTGAAAATCTCCCTAATGAAAAAATCAAAAACATAGTCACGGCCTAAACGTTTCGAAAAACGTGTATGCTTATAGTATTTAAAGACTAGAACACGATAAAATATTTTCAAATCACTTTTGCAATGCATAACATATGTAAAATTGGTTCGTTCCCAAAATCCGCAAACTTTCATCCACTGAACTCTGCGTCAGGCTAGCCATCTGGCCAGAGCTGCAGTTGATGACTGGTAACGAGATGGGTGATCATGTCAGAAGCTTGTCAACTGCAGGGAGATATCGGGCTATTGAAACTGCCACGGCGGCACCCTACACTGGTAACGGTAGCCGCAAGGCGGGATATTCTTCATCCCTTCTTCCTTTGAAGATTCTTTGAACTCAATTTGAAATTAATTAAAAGTGTGCGGAGTTCGGGAACTAACAATAAAATTCATACATATATATAAAAATAAATATGATATTCGTTATCTATGCGAAATACTAAGTCGAATGAGATATTTTTAACTTGCGTTCATTGCACGTAACTCGGTCTTGTCTTTATATCTTTTGAATGAAGAACGATCAGGAGCTCACAATTGTTTCATTTTGTAACGAAAAGTGTGCTCAACAAGATGAAACATATCAAAACTCTCGAAGGCTCTTGGTTACTATCTAAAAAAAACGGTTCCCTATGAATCCTTTTTTGCTGCTTGAACTTTTGAATCGTTTCAAATGTCGAAACCTAAAATGGTTGGACAAAATCCTACCAAACTCCAAATCGTTCTATAATGACTTCCAAAACCTTAAATAGTTTCTTCAATTGATGCGAAACTTTAACGTAGTTTCCTACAAAACTCATTTGGTTGAAAATGCGAGAAAATTTCGTATGCACATTGTAAAAAATAAAGTGTGTAAATGACACACATCAAGTGAACGCCATGTCGATTCTCAGTGATTGTCTAGAACGCATGGCGTAGGTGTGTAAAGTACACACTGAGAAGTGATCAGCTGGCCCTACACACTGACGAGGGAACTATCCCAAGTGTTAATCACAGATGCTAACGAGAGGTACCCCAATCGATAGAGCTCGACGAGCTGATTCTAGTGGCATAAAGCATTTTTCCCAATGTTTCTTGAAGACCCAGTTTTCT